GCTTTCATGTAAAAAAAAAAATTAATGGAGACAAGACAAAACAAGGACATGTGTTTATTAGTATAATTTTTTCTGAAATTATGTTGTATATATATATATATATATTTTTTTTTTTAATTGTGATGTATATGAGATTTATGGCCGATCTGAATGGTTCGGGGTAAATATTTATTATTGAAAAAATATGTTATTGTTTTATTTGATGATCAGATTCAACTTTTTCAAAATCAACTCTTGTTGCAAATAAATATTTAATTCAGCGGGATTCAGTTCAAGTAATTGACTACAATCTCGTATTTCAGCATTATCCTATGGTTATTGGTTCTAGTTAATTACTTTAGAAAATAATATTAGAAACAATCTTGACCTAGAATTCAATCCGATAACCCAAACAATTCTATCAATCAGCAATTCAACAGTAAATCCTAGAAATTCCTAAATCTTACAAGTAATTTACTAGACATGATTAGAGAAGACAAAATCAAAGACTGAATAAACAACATAGAGATAAAAAAAGAAAATCGGAGGAGATAGGACAAGTATGGCAGAAAAGCAAAGCTTCATTTCTATGCTTTCAATTGAATATGTGTAACATGTCCCCACAGAAATGGTTCTTCCACTCTTTACAGTTTCTCTTACAGAATAAAGAAGAAAATATACCAAAATAAATATGTTACAAAAGAAGAAATGAAGAGAGAAGCAAATAGAAGTTTTATGAACCATCATATAAAGAGCCATGTGGTTAAAAAAACTACCATCGCCTCCATTGCCTCCGCCAAATGATAGTAAAACAACTGCAAACGGATAAAAAAGAACATTTTTTTGTATATCTCTATGTTTTTTGGTTTAACTCACCACCTTCAGCATCTTCCATATTGATCCGTCCTGAAGATAATATGCAAACTATTACTAAACGCAAAACATACTGACTGGCGGTTTACTTTATTTCGTTACGTACCTAACAATGATATCAACGACGGGGCATCCCCTGATCCATTTGGTTTCATGTCCGTACCTACGTTTCAATGTCACGGCTTAAACTTATATGTATATCAACTATTCGACCTCTCTCAATACGAAACTCTTAGCTTAAAGACCAAGTTATAAGTAAAGCACATGATCAGTAGAGGAAGAAAGAAGAGTCACCTGTATTTTCCATTGATCTTGTGATGTCTGACTTCTTAAATGTAAATCCTATGAAGTTGTCATCCTTGGATGTCAACATCTGCTCAACCAGTACACATGTTAGCACCAAATGTTACTATCTAAACTCATTAACAGTTTTTTTTCTATGTTATGTTGATACTCAAAACAAAATCTGCAAGTTATGCTATGAGGATCAAGTGCAGTGCGTCACCTTTCTCCAAGGACCAACTTGTGGTGCTTCAGATGGCGATCCTTCAACCTACAAAGTATCAGAAATAAGTTTCGGATTCACTAAGGGCATCTTCAACCCTACTCTATTTTTCACTCTAAAATAGAGTTTTAGAGTAAAAGTGCTCCAATGGTACTTTATATCTCACTCAATAATAGAGTGAAAAATAGGTTTACTCCCAAATATAGAGTAATTTGTTTTTTTTTTTCATCACTCTATTTTTCACTTCAAAATAGAGTATTATTAGAGTAAACTCCATCTCAATTATAGAGTGACTCTATTTTAGAGTAAAGAATAGTGTAAACCATTAGAGATGGTCTAACTAATTGGTTTTCAACTATTGCGTCATTCCAATTTTCAGACTGTAACTTACTTCAGGGAACTTTTCAAAATTTTGGGTGTCTAGTTCTCCATCAACAGTTGGTCTATAAGCTGCCTCCATTTCATAGAGTTTCTCCCACTGAGTGCCGTTGAACCACGGATGAGTCTGAAACAATATCAAAATCGAATTTCAATGATCTTAAGGCTGAAAAGTGTGGGTAGTCAAATGCATCTTTAAATATCCTTTTTAGAAGTCTCACCTTTATCTCCTCAGCACCTCTGGTTCCTAACCTTGACTCAACATCACATAGCAAGCGACAAATCAAGTCCCTTGCTTCATCTGATATTTTTGGTTCCTCAGGGAATTTCAAGCAAACCCTCCAATTAATTATCTGTGAAAGCAAGCACAGGTAAGCATGAATACTTCTACTGTAGATAATAAAGCTATATATATTACACCTACCTTGCGGCATGTTATACGGGGGTCATCAGAACAGAATGGGGGATACCCAACTAACATCTCATACAGAATTGCTCCGAGAGACCACCAGTCACATTCCATTCCATATCCTTTCTTCAATAGTACTTCTGGAGCCATGTAATCAAGAGTTCCAACAGTTGAATAAGCCTATAAAATATGAAAACTATTAATATTGATGTCATAGTCCAGCAAAAATGAGTACACCTATGTGATTCAAGCATAGATACCAATGCCCGGCGATTGCGCTTCCATTGCAGCAACTGCTCTTTAGGCATTTGCCAAGGAGCTTTGTCAGAGTCTGCTTTTCCTGACTGGCTCTCTGCTTCCTGAGAAAGCATTTCTTCATCTTCTAATAGCAGTGAAGAATACTTGTCATCTAGTGGCTTACATAGACCAAAATCTGAAAGCTTCAAATGCCCACTTTTGTCTAGTATCAAATTATCAGGTTTGATGTCTCTACAGGCAAGACGAAACAAACTCAAATCAAGAACCATCTATAGTTCACAGAGATTCTCCCCAGCACACTTAATCACTAGCCATAAAGAAGACCAGCGTCAGCATTTATAATTAACATACCTGTGAACATAGTTGTGTTGATGGATTGAATGGATAGCAAGAATGCTCTCAGCAATATAAAAGCGAGCAACATCTTCAGCGAGAATGTCTTCTCTCATGAGTAAAGTCATGATGTCACCTCCAGGTAAATACTCCATGATAAGATACAAACACTCAGAATCTTGAAAAGAGTAGAATAGCTTTACAATGTAACGGCTGTCAACCTCAGCAAGTAAGTTCCTCTCAGACCTTACATGCTCAACCTATAGAGCAAAACCAGTCAATTAGAGAAAAAAACACTTAAACTTGCTAACCCGAAACTGAAGCAATCTAATGATAGGGAACTCTATTCCCAAGCCCATGTCTTGCATCAATACTTTCACTTACTACTACTAAAATTACTCTATAAACATGTGACAGTTCCCCATTCACTTAAATAATGATAGGAACTATATTGTCTTGCATCAATTTTGCAATTACTGCTACTCTAAAACATGTATGATGTATGTAACAGGTCCTCTGTTTCACTTGAATAAAAAGAGAACAAAGTATGTGTACCTGTCCACGGCTAAGCATATCAGTTTTTTTCAATTTCTTCATGGCATAAACCTCACCTGTAGATCTCAAACGGCATAATCTAACCTGAGATTATAAGGAGAGTTAATTCCTAAAACAAACATTTAAAAATCACAAAACACTTTGTAGAGTAAGATCACATTATTGATCTCCACTGTACCTCACCAAAGGCACCTTTGCCAATAACAGTCAAGAGCTCAAAATCATCAATCCCAATCTTACGTCTCTGAAGCCTCATATACTCAGTCTCTCGACGAGCAAGACTCCTCATCATCTCGTCTTGTTCCTCCACAGGTAACTGAGCTTCTTGCACTTTCCTCTGAAACTCTCTTCGTCTGCAACACATTTAATTAACATTAATCAAATTCCTCACAACTCAAAACTAATTTCTTGTAATGATCAGAAAAGCTACGACGAACCTCTCCATGCGTTCGTGCAAGCCTTGCAAGTAATTCTTGTAATGATTCTCGATGAACTGCTTCGCGGCAGCTGCTTTCTGACGCGTCACCGGAGACGAAACCGCCGAATCGGACTCCAATTCGAGTCCGCGGCCAGGTTTGGCACCGACGCGGACGGTTCCATCGGCTCCTCCTTCCATTTTTGAAGCAGATCGTTCGTAGAGGGAAGAGGAGGAGGAAGAAGACAAATTGGTGTTTGTCGAGTGAGATTTTATTAATGAGAGAGGAGGATGAATAATGAAGAAAGAGTAATGGAGGAGAGATCTAAATGAGCTGTTTAAAGATGGAAAGGAGGAAGAACGTGGACTATTTACCAAGACCAGAGCTGTCTCCTGGTCTGTTCTGTTTTTTTTTTTTTTATTATTAATAATGATTATTATTGTAATAATAAACAGTTAGATAAATAAATAAAATTTAGAGAGTTTATATGGAATAATTTGAAGCAAAATTTTAATCATCGTTCTTCTGACTTTGTGTCAGCGGAAGGTTTGGATCTCCTGAGGGAACATTTCAATGTTTGTTACTTTTAATTTTGGTATATATATACAGTTTTTGACGTCGTGTTCAATAATAACAAGTAGAGCTTCACTAAAGGCTCCACGTTACAATTAACTCTATCACTGCAAACAATTAATACAATTAGACCCAGTGGGCTAGTAGATCACGCTTTGTGGTCGGATACTGGGTTATCAAAAAAAAAAATTTCCTAGACAGAGAGGAGGATATTATATCTCATATTAAATTATTTTATGGATCCGCACTTGTGTGTATGTGTATAATATAAACATTTTCCTGCAAGACCACACAAAGTTATAACTTAATGGTTTTACTAGAGTTCAATGGTGGACCAAATAACACATTAATGTAACATCTCAAAAATTAAAAGAAACAAAAATCCATAAAGCTAAAAACGTTTTCCTTTTCTTTTAGACTCTTGCACCATTTTGTTTGTTGAAATCACTGTTAAAGCTTCTTTTTCTGTTAAGCATCACCTTCAAATCATAAACACAATTTCATAAACTAGAGGTTCCTATTTTATATTTTCTTTCAAGCCTCAAAATTTTCAAAACCAACTCTAGTCGTTAGTTATTTTAAATTTTTTTTTTTAAATATAAATGTTAATATTTATATCAGCTTTTCTGACTTTTACGTAGTTTGTAAAAACCACTTATCACATAAAAAAAACAAAAGGAACTAAACTTAACTAAAAAGAGAGATGAACCAAAAATAAAGCTCAAACATAGATGAAGAAGAAGCACACTGAGGGTAAGAAAGAAAAGAGCATGTCACTCATAGCTCGGTCAATGACACGGAAGAAATCTGAAGGAGACAGTGATGTGCCACGGAAGATATGAGCATTGCGCTCTAGCCATATATTGTAGATAATGACCTGCGGGAGAAGCTTGAAAACCTTCTTGTCTGACACCACAATAGCCCTTGAAGACACTAACAATTGGCCACTGCAGAAGGGAGATGGTGGAGCGGACATGAACCTGCCACAAAAGCATAACCACACACCAACATCAAAGAAACACTCCAAGAAAAAGTGTCTATGATATTTGATACCATTCATACACAGAACACGTCCACTTGGAACAAATAAGCGCCAAGATATTAACCGGTCACGACTCACGAGTTGGCAACCCCCCAAGAAGAAAGCCAAGCAATAAAGGAGCATCTCAGACTTTTTTTTCCTTAAATCAGATTGTAGTATGCCAAGGGAAAACAAGTGGCACTTTCATAAAGATATCTGCCAATTGATCTCTGCCAATTGATATGTTGTTGGTACATAATTCGTACGTAAAATTCAAGCTTATATATCATCTCTAATGAAGTGACAATCTGACTCCACATATTTCGTCCTCTCATGAAATACATGATTAGCTGCAATTTGAAAAACAAACTTACTATCACAATACATATCCATAGCACTTGAGTGTACAATACCCATAGATAATAACACACCCTTAAATCTCCTTCAATACAACAATCATATCTCTATATTCTGCTTCGGCTGACGAAAGAGCCACAACATCCTGCTTCTTTAACCTCCATGATACAGGACAAGATCCCAATTGTACTAACTAACCATTCAAAGATCTCCTAGTAATCGGACATCCAGACCAGTCTGAATCAAACCACGCTGTGAGATGAAAATTGCAATCAGCTTTCAGTAAAATTCCCATTCTAGGACACCCTCTCAAATAACAAATAACATTCAGTGCAGCTAACCAGTGATCCTCTCTTGGTTTCTGCATAAACTGAGACAAAATGTGAACATAATACGCAATATCAGGCCTAGTCGGAGCCAAATAAATCAATCTCCCTACTAATCTTCAATACTTCTTTGGATCATCAAGTGCATTCTCCTCAAACCGTCCCAACTGATGGTTCGGTTCCACTAACCAAAAAAAAACTCAATAAACCTAAACATCTTTGAAATCAATTCATAGGTCTCAAAATCAACACATATGAACACGATGAACAGATGGACAGTGTCTGATGAACAGTAACCATGAATAGTAACTGATGAACTCAATTACACATACATAAACCCTAAAACCATTAATGAATATTTACAATCTTAGTCCATAACTATTGCATAATCTCAATATAGCCTAATAAGGATGGCTCATAGAAAAGTTCCCTAGTAACTTTTGAAGAGAAGGAGATTGTAAACCCAACAGTCTGTCCCCTTCTCCGAAGAAAAATATATTATACCATTATAACTGGATGGAGGAGTTGTCGACGACAAAATAATTTGAAAGTCTCAGCATACTCAGATCATGCTGGACAAAGGAACCAGTTACTATTATGAACTGCATCAGCCACTGAAGCATAAAGTGGTATTCTTAGGTCCCTTGGACCATACGAGCCAAATAAAGAGAATAATGGACCATGCTCCATCCAATAATCAAACCAGAAGGAGGCACTACGACCATTCCCTATACCACAACACATAAGTATTCAGGGATGATCTGAGCTGAAGCATCGACCTGACGGTCTAAGAAAATCTTGGGGGAGTCATTTACCAATAATACATTTTCTTCAAATTTTTTTTTTGAGTTAGCCAAGGGACCGATAGGGAACCCGAGGAAGAGAAGAACAGCCAGAACTTTTTCAGGTGGAAAGCCATCTCAAACTCTTCAACTTACAGATACCCAAACCTCTTTATTTCTTCGGTTTGAAGATATTCAGCCATGCAACCCTAGTTCCAACTGCAGAGGTAGTCTTGTTCTTACAGAAAAGGCAAAGCTTAGTGAATCCAACTTAGCATAAAACCTTTTAGGCAAGGCAAAAACAGAACTTCAGAAGTTCACCATATAGTAAATAACATATTAAATCATCTTAATATTCCCTGCATAGGACAATGTTTTGACTGTCCAGGAATGGAGTTTCGAGGTTATACGCTCAAGAAACGATTGGAGAGTAGCCCAAGATATCTTTTTGGACTAAGTGGTAATCCCAAATATCTTGTTGGGAAAGTACCACACTCATAGCCTGCAAAATCACTTAGAACCGAAGCTTGCAATTCAAAATAACCGCTGTAGAAAATATCTGTCTTTGTCTCATTCACATCTAGCCCTGACCAGCTTTTAAAAACATCAATTACTTCCTTGATACCATCAGTCGAAAACGAGAGTCCGAGAAAACCAACAAATCATCAGAGGATAACAAGTGTGCCAAGTTTGGCGACGAGCAAAGCGGTGAATTCTGTGTGACCCTGCCACTTCAGCCTTGATTAGAAACCGGAAGAGAACTTCCATAAGCATGATGAACAAGTACAGAGACATTGACTCACTCTACCGTAGTCCTTTCTATCCACTTTAGCCCTAGTGAGTTCAACAGAATAACCATCTGATCTAGGACTCGTATTCAGAGGCGTAGCCAAAAAAAATTAAATTTTCTTTTCTTTTCTTTTCTTTTGATTAAAGAGTTTATTTTTTGTTTTGAGATTAGTTTTTGATAAGCTAACATTTCTTTCCTTATGTTTCTCACGTTATTTCAATAAAGAAGGAGAAATGATCTTTTGTATAATAATGAAAAATACTCGAGTTCATTTTCTCTTGTGAACTCTCAGATTCACCTCATTTCATATCATAAATTGAAGTGTCATATACGGTTAGTAAAAAAAATTAAAATTAAAAGAAAAAAAGATATAGCTGAAAAAAGGAACGACACTGACGTTAATCCCATTAGAAAAATCATAAATTTTAATCCCTAAACGTAAACCTGAAATTGTAAACCTTAAAAAATAATATAACTGGAAAAGGAATAGCGTTAACGCTGTAAAAAAAAATTTCTAAACCATAACCTATATATAAACCCTAGAATTCACTCCTTATGGTAAATTTTAGGGTTTAGAAACCCAATAAGACCTAGGGTTTTGAAACTTCATAGGGTTCACCTCTAGAATTTAGAGTTTAGAGACTCCCTAGAATTCACCTCCTACAGTTTAGGATTTAGAATTTTTATGATGGTGTCTTCTTTTTTCTAGCAATATTTTAAGGTTTATAATTTAGAGTATTTGCGGTGTACACACAAGAAAGATTGGCATATTAGTTCAATGCCCTGTTTTTGTCTTGTAGTTATACTCCCACATGCTCTGATTACTATTGTACCCCTACACCAAAGGAACTTTGTTTGTATCGATTACTTATTCTCTTGTTTCTTTTTTTTATTATGTTATCTATCTACACACTCAACCGAAGCTTTTGTGTCAGACAAGTTGTATTTTACATTTTTTTAATAAATAATAATAATTAAGAAAAAAAATAATTATTTTTAAAAAAAATTTTAACATTAAACTCTAAAGTCTAATCTTAGGTAAATCACAAACTTTTGGATAAATCTATAAAAATTTAGTATTTATGATTTACCCAAGGGTTTAGGGTTTAGGATTAGAGTTTAGGGTTTAGTGTTTATGATTTACCCAAGGGTTTAGGTTTTAGGATTAGAGTTTAGGGTTTAGTGTTTATGATTTACCCAAGGGTTTAGGGTTTAGTGTTTATGATTTACCCAAGGGTTTAGGGTTTAGGATTAGAGTTTAGGGTTTAATGTTTATGATTTACCCAAGGGTTTAGGGTTTAGGGTTTAGGATTAGAGTTTAGGGTTTAGTGTTTTAGTGAAAAGAATTTTTTTTAAAGATTTTTTTTATAAAATTTACCAAAGATTTATGATTTACCAAAGGGTTTAGGGTTTAGGATTAGAGTTTAGGGTTTAGTGTTAAAATATTTTTTTTAAAAGAATTATTTTCGTTTTTATTAATTTTTATTATTATTTTTTTATTTTTGTATTTTAGCTATGCTAATGAGTAGCTGACACATGTAAAAGAAGTGGGGCAAAGTTCAATCATTACTATCCCCTCCCCCCAATTAAAACTAAACCCCTTCTAACTTGCTACCTATAAATGACCTACCTTAATATTGGACAACAAAATCGTTTGAGACTACTTTCGTAATTGCTAAATGAAACTCATCCTGACAATACTTATGTTTGTGTATTTTGTTAATTAACCACTTCTTATAGGATTTTCAACAAATTCACTCTATAATTTATGGTTTTGAATTTAGAATTTATTGTTTATGTTTAGGGTTTTGCTGATTTTTTCTAGCTATTTTCATTTTTGTTTAATTTTAATATTTTAAATTTATTATATATGATACTCTGATCGGTGATATGAAGTAACGTAAATTTGAGAGTTCACCACTGAATGAATGGACGAACGCAAGTATTGTTCTCTAATAATGTCTCTAAAACTTTCTTAGTCTCAACAAAGTTTGTCGCATAGGCAAACAAACAAAAACATTCTCGTCTGCCCCTTCCTGTAGAACAAAACATGTTACCAATTGGTCACTCCTGAAAACAGGAGTAACATGCACTGAAGGACTTCATACAGTCCAATATGACCCAAGAGACTATATTCATAATTCGCCAAAAAGACAGTCTTTGAAAACAGAGAATACCATTTTGACTTTATTCTCTTTAACTAACAACTTCAACAAGCATCCAAAATTCATACCGTGATTATTTATCTAGTTAAGGACTACGAAATATTTATTTGATTTGTTGAGCACGCACACACTAAAAAAAATCAAACATTTAAGGATTTATTTGAGAGAATCTCTTGCACGATACAACAAGACTGAGTTTTCTTGCGTCATGCGGATAAATAATAATGTTAAATATAATTGAATTTAATTTAGAAAGAAGATTTGGTTTAAATTTTAACATTATTATTTTTATATTTTTAATTCACCAGCTTAGAAAATAAAATCCTAAATGTAATTAGATGTAGTCTTGTTTTGATTTAGTTTAATTATTTCAATTTTATTTTATTTAAGTTTCAATAGAATTAAAACTATACTTGCTAAGATTGACATTTTATTTACAGGATAATGACTATTTATTTAATTATTTATATTATCCCATAGTTATAAAATTCTGTATTAAAACATATATATATATACATTTAATAAACTTTTATTATTTGTTTAGTTTTTTTAAATAATTTAAACTGGTAAATTTTTTTGTTAATCTACTTAATGAACCTTTAATTTTAAATAAAATTTCAAGGAATTAACTTTCAACCATTTTTATTAGTATTTTTTTGTTTTATATTTGTAAAGCACACACACAAATAATTATATATATATATTTATTTATTTATTTATACCA